CCATTCCGCCTGAGATAACCCAGAGAGTGATGGAGAACTTCCGGGAACGTCTTCAGCAATGTATTGCCAACGACGGCCGCCATTTGCCTGATATGATTTTTAAAACCCATTAAAACGAAACTGTTTTTTATGTACTTTTCAGAAATATATGCAATTTTTTTCTAGATAGCTTCGTTCATTTTTTATACCCCTTCAAAATGTGGGAGATCTTTATGCCCCACCCTGTACCTAGTAAAATATTGCTATTGGATGAATAACATTGAGACACCCTGTATATTCCTTGGCAAGCAATATTAATCCAATATTGGGATGCTACTGGGGGTGGGTTTCTCACGTTGGCCCAAAGTGGGCCAACGTGAAAGTTAGCTAAACTGTGGCCCACAACCCATACTTGGAATTCCAACGTTGTTGTGCTGCCTGAGTACGAAGTATCAGTTTCTAATCGTTTCTTGGAATATATTGAGTTGCTGAACTACATCTTCCATCATCTACATCATCTCCATAATCAACTACATCATCTGCAGAATTCCAAGCAAAAACAGGTGGAAGATTTGCTCCACTCCTATTGTTGACAGATCCGCAGGACCTTGTAGAACAATTCACGAAGCAAATGGAGGAAACAGCCTTTGAGGTCCTTGGAAAGGCTAGGAAGATCTAATAGCTGTAGATAACGCGAAAAGTACCGGAAATGTGCGGCCGACGACGCGAAATGAAATGGAGGAAGCGCAACAATGAGGATGGAACAGAAGAAAATCGAAGAGTAAACAACGAAGTGAAGAAAGAAATCAACAAAGCAAAAGAGAAGTCGATCAATGAAGAATGTCATGAAATCGAAATGAGTATGAAAAGCAACAACAGCGAGAAAGGGTTCGAGACAGTCAAGAAGCTCACGAAAGACAACGACAATCGAGGGCAAAGACGGAAAACTTCTAACGGAAAGCAAAGCAGCAGCAGGAAGGTAGGCAGAGTACTGCGAGGAACTTCACAACTACGTCAAAACAGATCAAACGGTATTTAGAGAGCTGAGGAATTACGAGGATGCAAAAGAAGACGACGGTGACAACAACCTTAACATCTTGGAGGAAGAGGTAGTAGAGGCAGTGAAAGGGCTGAATAAAGGAAAAGCAGCAGGCATCGACAACATCCCGGCAGAAATATTGAAGGCAGGAGGAGAAATAGTGTGTGATGTGCTGAACATGATTTGCAATGAGACATGGAGAAGAGGGAAATGGCCAGATCAGTGGACGAAGTCAGTCTTTATCCCATTGCCAAAGAAGGGAGATTGGAGAAAATGTCAAAACTACCGCACCATCAGCCTGGTAAGCCAACCCAGCAAAGTGTTGCTCCGCATCATCCTGAACCGACTGAAGCCACAGATACTGTAGAATCGATTCTAGCAGAAGAACAAGCCGGCTTCCGAGCCGGGGGAAGCACAACTGAGCAAATTTTCAACCTGAGACTACTCAATGAGAAATACATGGAACACGGGAAAGAGCTACATCACAACTTCATCGATTTCAAAAAAGCCTTTGATAGAGTTTGGCAAGAAGCATTTTGGGCTACAGTGAGGAAACATAACATCAACCGCAAACTGATAGTATGATTGAATCCCTTTACACGGACTCCAAAAGTGCAGTTCTGGTCGGAGACACCACCAGCGACTGGTTCTAACAACTGTCGGAGTCAGGCAGGGGTGTCTGCTATCGCCCTATCTGTTCAATGTATTTCTCGAACAGATCATGACAGAAACGCCGTACAACATCGAGGGAGCAGTAACAATCGGTGGTAGGAACATTTTTAACCTGCGTTTCACAGATGACATAGACCTGATTGCAGAAACGTCAACGGAGCTTGAAGAACTAACAACAAGACGGGACAACATATCAAGAAGATACGGCATGGAAATCAGCGCCGAGAAAAGCAAGTTACTAATCACTGGGAAGAGTGACAACACCACCAAAACTGGGATATGCATAAACGGGGAAGAACTGGAAAGAGTCAAGTAATTCAAGTACTGTACCTAGGTGCAATCCTGACAGAAGAAGGGAAATCGGAATGCGAGGTGAAGACTATGCTAGCAATGGCAACGAGTACGCTAACTAGGTTGACGACCATTTTGGCAAGCAGAGGGATTTCAGATAAATCGAAGATCCGCCTTCTCAGAACAATCATCTTGGCAACGGCACTCCACGGGTGCCAGACGAGGACATTGACAAAGAAACTCGAAAGGAGAATATAGGCGTTTGAGATGAGATGCTTTCGGAGGCTGCACAGATACAGTACACAGCACACCGAACAAACGCCTCGGTAAGAGAAGAAATCACGCATAAGACCGGAGAAATTGAGAAGACAATAACGATCGTGAGGCGCAGGGAGCTACAGTGGTTTGGCCACGTTTGCCGATGAGAGGGAAGCCTTGCAAAAACAGTTCCACAAGGCAAGGTTGACGGAAACGGGAAGAGAGGAAGACCCAAGATGAGTTGGGCAGAGAACATCAAGGCATGGACGGGCAGCGGAATGGAAGTGTAGGTATGGACAGCGAAATACAGGGACAAGTGGAAAGAAATGATTGCGGTGGCTTCAACGGTGCCCCTATGACCAATGCGGTCATGGGACTGATGATTATGATGAACTACTGTACATCTTAGGAAGAAGTCGGGAAGCGAACACGTGCGCATTGTGTCTACTCTGGAATTTATAACCGTGTTTTTCTTGGAGGAAAAATGACTTGAGATCCCAACTTAAATGAGCTACAGCTTGCAAAATGATAAAAGAGCGGATGAAATCATGAGTCAACATTTTTGGAGCAAGGTTACACAGCAATGCGGTCCCGTAGCACGATTTTTCCTGTGGGTTTTCAATCCTTCCTCATATAGCATGCTACTTTCTCGAGGAATTTCATGGATTCGTATCGACTGATGAGAATTCCAAAACATACCGGTGAAATTGGGATTAGACTCCCCTCTCTTCGCCAACTCCTCCATTTGCTGCAAATACGCATCGATGTAGTCTCTGGGAGCCTTTCCTTCCAAGGACTGCTTGTGCTTTTCCACCTCTTTCTATGGAAGAAAAGAGAAAATAGGCGATACTCACCGACGATCCCAAGACCGGATTTTCGCGAAAGTCTCACGGCAATGGTCGCAAACGGTATGAACCCAGACGACTTCTCAAATCGCCGCCCCTGAGAGACCCCCAGAACGAATCGCTGATAGGCCCTTCGAACGGGAGACCAGAACCAGACGAGCGATGGAAAGATCTGGAACGGTCCCATGCTGAGGACGTCTTCCGTGAGGAAGGACAAACGCTCCAGGAATCCGTGCAGCTCGCAGCTGTCGTGTTCGAACTGCTTCCCTGGTGTGATGAGGCAGTAAGGGGCTTCTCATTTTTTACATGCAAATCCCCCTTCATTAGTGCAGTGTTTAAATATCTCACTCGTTCGGAGACCCCATCATAGGGAAAGTCATGAAATACTATTAGAGTTACTCGGAACTAGTTCATTAAATAAACAAGTTCATTACACTTTCTAATTTTCGAGATTCAGAGCAAACATAGGCTTAGAGCTTTGTCCAAGTTTAATTGCAATGCGATACGATACGACAAAAAGTCGATGCATCGTCCCATAGATAAATCCTCGTGCTTCCCAACAGGCAATACTTGCAGCTTCTCAATTCCAGGACATTTTCTCCCCAGACAGCCAATCTTCATTGGGCCAAACATGACACATCATCGCGAAGGTCTGCAACAAGGTTGCGCCTTCGCTGCATGAACCCGCAACTGAAGGGCAGCCTCATCTCTGCCTGAGAGAATTTAGCTACGGGCAGGGGTACTTATAGGCAATATTAGCTTGATTAATTCCTAAACTCCATGAATCTGTCTCGAACATGAAGATAATACATGAAGAAATGGAGGCTTTGATTGATTGTCATAATGAGCAATGACAAAATATATAATGAGGAACTATGTGCTGCTGTGAAGGTAGAATCTTGAGAAAGGAGGAAGGGTACTTTTAGGTATTGTCTAGAAAGCGAGAACGATGCTGCCATATAGTGGCCTACATGGCAACTTCATTTCTCGGATTATTTTCAAGTGCAACTTAGGCACTTTGGATCGACCCATCCGTTCAGTATGGGATCCATCATGTCAGGGCAATATTAGGGAGACATTACTTCGCAATATTGGTAATTTTAGCGAAGGAATATTGCCTACAGCCGATATTAATTGCAAGCCAACCCTCGGAGCCTTAATTGGTCTGTGTGCCAATGATGCGCCAAAAACGGCAACTCAACATGCAGCCTTTATTGGAACTGCGTCCTTTGCCAATGTTATGCCAATAATAGGAAACCAGCCTAGAGTCAAGAATGGGCCTATGTTCTCCACCAATGAAGTGCCAAAAAATGGCCACCCAAGCTAGAGCCAGGAATGGGCCAAGCATGCCTGCCAATGCCGTCGATCTGCCGACGTTGCCATGAAAGAGCCATTGCAGGGCCAAGCTTTTTGGTAATGTGGATCTACATCTTCCAAGTGCACTAAATGACAGTTTTACTCGAAACTGACGAACCCGAACCTGCGGTCAGCTTCCAGATGATGTTGAGTACGGCCACGTTGATCGGGAGTCGAAGGTCTTCCGGTTCGTTCTCGTTCCGTCTGACCATTTCGCAAATCTTGAGGACTTCCTGGAGAATCGTGGCGTTCAACTTCGGTGCACTCCCGAGCCCGAATTCCCGGAGGGCCTTGATGGTGAATCGTCGGTTCTCGTGCCACAGGCTTCCGCTCGAACCCACGAGCCCTTGGTCAGAATCCTCAATGAAACATAACTATTTTTATCCGGCATTCCCATAGGTACTACGGGGAAGTGCCAGATATTGCGGTCGGTTTGTCACTTTTTTTTCATTCTTTTATTCATTCCGTCTGTCTGCAGTAACCATAGCGACCGGACAACACAACCCAATGCGCACGCGCAGCTTTCCGCCTGGGTCGGGTTGCCCGACTTCCACGAAAACATCCACTTCCCTTCCAGTCCTGGCGTTTGACGGATCCAAAGTAGACAATGAAGGAGAGCGGCTGTTCCCGGCCGCGTAGACAGGGTTGTTCGGCATACGCGTGAAATGCCGTATCTGGCATCCTACACTTCATAATGTCCTCCCACCTCCACGCGACGCGGATGTGCGGACCATTGAGAATATGTCTAGTTGTCCAGTCCTTTTCATATATGCCTACGCCGAACCAACGACAGCTTTTTTTTTTTCAAGGTTGGATGGTTAAGATGCGATGAATATATATAACTAGAGAGTACCAGCCCAGGTACAGATCTGGCATTCCCATGGCCCCTGTACCACTGAAATTATTACATACTGTATACTCAGGGGAGCAGCCGCTCTCCTCCATTGTCTGCTACGGATCCGTCAACTGCCAAGGCTAGATTGGAAGTGGATGTTTTCGTGGAGGACGGGCACCCTGACCCAAGCGGAAAGCTGCGAGTGCGCATTGAGTCTTGTTGTCCAGTCGCAATGGTTACTGCGGACAGACGGAATGAAAAAAAAAGTGATAAATTGACTGCCATATTTGGCATTTCCTCATAGTACCTAAGGGAATGCCAGATAATTGTTTCAGTGGTACATGGGCCAGTGGAATGCCAGATCTGTACCTGGACTGGTACTCTCCAGTTTCATGAATGTGCTGCAATCGCGATCCGGTGCAAAGATTTTTCGCAATTTTGCAACAATTGCGTAAATATTAAGAAGTCAGCCCTACATCGTGATGCAAAAACACGCAAGGCAATAACCGTAATGCTTTCTTAAGAGAAGCTCATGCAGTGTAAAGGTGGCATTCCAGCAATATGCAAATTTGCAAAATTAGCATGCCTTCTCATAGAATGTACTGTTGTGTTGGGACGAACACGACTCCAAGTTGTTTACAACCGCGCCACCCCGAAGTAATCACTCAAGTTTTCTCACTTTAGGGAACATTTTAGAGTCACGGCATCGACGTTGTCGAAACTCGGTTGAATCGACTCGGTCGAATTGACCCTCTCAACCCAAGAGAAGAGCAGAGGGCATCCGCACCCCGAAGAAAAATTCACATGAAGTTTAAATTCGTATACCACAAGAAGCACGAATCGAACCGAAAGGAAAAAGGAGCCTGACCATTGTTGCCGCTGGAGAAAAGCCTGAACATGACGACGTCGCATCTGTCGGTGAGGTTGGGTTTGGAGAATGCATTCCGTATTATGCTTTCTTCGCCGAGGATCACCACGTCCCTCCCGGCCAGATTCATGTAGAACACGTCGCCGTATCTCTCCTTCAGGCGGTGGAATTTCTCGTAGAGGCAACCACCGAAGAGGAAAGGCGCGTAGCCGAGGAAAGGAACACCCCAGGGTCCTGCGAATCAAGAAGCGATCCCTCTTTTTTTTCTACCGTTTGCAAACAGGACGACTCGGATGCAGACTCGATTGGAGGGGAGCACGTAATGCAACATGAATTTCTTTATTCTTTATCCTCGTGGAAAATGAATTGTGCACTCCCTTAGTGACGTTCTTGTCGAGTTCCTAGCTACAAATGTTTTTCTCAATAGTAGTTTTGATAATTTCAGTCTCGTTCCTTCATGCCTTTAATACTCACTTCACGTTATTCAGAGCCAATTAAAAATTTCCTCCGACTTCTGTTTTTCCTCCCACTATATGGCATGAAAGAGGAAGGATTTTTTTCAATTCCTCCGAATCGAAACTGTCTTCTCAGAAAGGTGGGGGTCTTTTCACGAGTCTCAATTATTTCATGTTCCTGGACATCTGCATACTTTTCCATGCAACTTCAAGCAAATTGTCAAAGGCCGTGACATGGGAACATCGAGCTGCTTGCCTGAGGCGGTGCTGGGCACTTCACCGATAAAGGGCGGATGAGACTCTCGAGAGTCCAACGGCCGTGGTGCCCCATGGATCAGAGGATCACCATGTGCACGCAGTACAACAGGTGGCTGTGGCTTATGCGCCTCACCTGCCAGGTCCTCACACTCATGGATACATGATGATGCCATAACTAAGAAAAATTCATACTGGCTCGGCCGTCGCCCAGGATAAAAAGGGCCGCGCTGGCTGCAGGTCTACCGGTGCAGTCAGTGAAAAGTTGGCGTCCGGAGGCTCTCATGTTCCTGTTCCTCACCAGGCAGAAGTGGGAGTAAGGGCTACTAGTGAAAGACCAAGCTCTGTCCCAGGGGCCTGGGTTGACAGTCGACCCTCCTCTGCTACAGAAAATATGCCCCCCCGCACGGAAACGTATGAAATGGACAAAATCCGTGAACATTGACGTCATGCGGGCTTGCTATCAAGCACGATCCGATGCGCCAGGAGCGTACCGGAAGAAAATGCTCGAGCTCTGGAATCAATCTTACTCAGAGCTGAATATCAACGAGCAACGACTTGCGAATCAAAGACTCTATATCGAGCGGAACAACATGCTCTCAGAACTGGAGCGGGAAAACATCAAACAGGATGTCCTGAACACCCTCCAGCCAGACAAACCAGAATGTAATGTACCCGCAAACGAGGAGGCAACACCTGAAAAGGCAGAGGTTCCACCGAGGGCTCTCGAGGCTCCTTCAGAGCTAGAAGCGCCACCCGAAGAACTAAGAATCGCCTTCCTCGACAATCTGGAAGATCTGCGGTACTTACAGATGTCCGACCGACCCCGACTACGACAACTAAAGCTCAACCTTGCCATCTCCAAAGACATCGAGGAGATCAACCGGATCATCAGCTCCTGCGACCTTGCAGACTGCGATCTGACTGAGCTGAACCACCGTGCCTTTGCAGCTGCCATTACCATCCATCAGAAATACCAAGGACCGGANAAATTCGATCCTAGACGCCTGCGCTTGTATATGAATGTTCTTTATATTTCAGCTTTTGCCATTGGTATATGCTGAATAAATATGAATTGAATTGAAGGAAGGGACAGCGAAAGCACCTTCTGATAAGAGACTTTCCTGAACTGTTGAGAACGTTCCAGAAGATTATGATTTCGTAATTACTGATAAAAATTCCAAAAATTTCAACATTTAAAAAAAACTCGGCAAAAAAAATGTTTTCTGGGACTATGCGTCCTGATGGCAGGACGCATAGTCCCAGAAAATGCAATGTAAAAAATGCGCGTGGTCCCACGCGGCGGACAAGCAAAAATAGGCTGGTCGTCAACGTGTTAATAGATTGGAGTTCAAAGAAGACAATATAGAGTTCAAGAACAACTAGAAAGGGTCAGACTTCCTTTCGTCGACTATTTCGGCTTCGTAACGAGCTTGAAGATAATCGGATGCCTTCACAGAATGTGGAATTAGCTACAAGAAGAAACCCTAAAGGAAAACCGTCCAACCCTCCAGGTGGGATTCGAACCAGTTAGATTTATCTCTTTTTGAAAGTAATCCTGCTGGAATGATTTCCGCCTGGGTCGAAATTCATCTAAAGGGAGATATCCTCTTGATAGCAAATACACGTGGGGGGGGCAGTTAGACTTCCACTATTTCCCAAATCAACCTGATTCCAATTCCCCCTCTCCTCCCCTGTCATCTACCTCTCGTTCCGAGCTGGTGAAGGTTAAGGGATTGAACAAGCTTCTCTACCGAAAGAAGGAACTGCAAACATATTAAGAGCACTGCATTCAGTATTTCGGTCTCCGTCTGTGACTCAACTGTCTCCCTTCCTCTATTTCCCCATTTATGGTGTAGAGATCAAGTGGTGGTACTCACACTGGACCAACCAGGACAGAATAATATCACAGTCATGGAATGGAACGCAAGCAGCGATGCCATCCAAAAATGCCAGTCAAAGGGACAGAGCAATGTATGTTCAGCCTCCTTAATTCTTCTTTCTGGCTCTGTCTCCTATTTTCTGTTGACTCCCAAGAAGTGACAATGAATAAACTGAATGTGAAGATAGGAAGTTGTCTAATTTGCAAGGGAATTATTCATGGTGTTATCGACCCATGACCTCACAGTTTGAGTTAGTCCGCAGATCTGTTAAAGCAGCGAGAAAAGGGATATACTTATTGGCTATCTCCGTTCAAGAGATTTCTATGTTCTGAATCGTGGCAATTATTGAATTTCCATATTGGATTAGATTTGAGAAAACTCAAAAATGACGAAAAAAGAAAAAAAGAAATGACCTTCCTAATGCGCGAATCATTCAAGATTACTATCTTCTTTAAACAGAGCGATGCAATATATGTTCATCTAATCTATATATACTGTACAGGGTGTCCCAGAAACCCCGCCCCAAGAATCACCATGTCTTCATTTTTTCTGATGGAAATGAGATTTGTTTCATTCGAAAGCCTAGACCTTTTTTGACAACTGCTGTTAAACCTGATGGTTTCTGATTACTGGTGGTGGGTTTTTTGAAAGAGAAGGTGTATGCTACAAAACCCCCTTCATCCTTGACCTGAAAAAACCCACAAAATCCATGAACATTGACGTCATGTGGGTTTACTATCAAGCACGATCCGATGCGCCAGGAGCGTACTGGAAGAAAATGCTGGAGCTCCGGAATCAATCTTACTCAGAGCTGAATATCAACGAGCAACGACTTGCGAATCAGAGACTCTATATCGAGCGGAACAACATCCTCTCAGAACTGGAGCGGGAAAACATCAAACAGGAAGTCCTAAACACCCTCCAGCCTGTCAAACCAGAATGTAGTGTACCCGAAAACGAGGAGGCAACACCTGAAGAGACTCCACTTCAGGTTCCACCGAGGACAATTGAGGCTCCTTCAGAGCTAGAAGCGCCCTCTGAAGAACTAAGAATCGCCTTCCTTGACCATCTGGAAGATCTGCGGTACCTACAGATGTCTGATCGACCCCGACTAAGACCTCTAAAGCTCAACCTTGCCATCTCCAAAGACATCGAGGAGATCAACCAGATCATCAGCTCCTGCGTCCTTGCAGACTGCGATCTGACTGAGCTTAACCACCGTGCCTTTGCAGCTGCCATTACCATCCATCAGAAATGGCGAGGACCAATGCTTTAACGATAGGTTGTCTACTAGTTTGTGATGGTCTGAACATGAAGTCAGAGGCTGCAAAATTGTTCATGAATTGATAAGGGAAATTTGGAAACCTCTCAATCAGTACTACAGCGCATAATCTGGGACATAAATGGAATTTTCCTAACACACAATGCAGAAGATGCGTCACTATGGGCCTGTTACGCACCATCTACCGGCGAGATTTGGCTTCAACTCCAGGCCGTCACAGGGCATGGTCGAGTTCAGTGACCATAGCTATCTAGGGATCATGGCCTGGCAAATCTCCCCCATCGACACGCACGGTCGCGTCAGCTCGTGCCAGTCGTTTATCTTAGGGACTCAAGGTGACTCAGTCCTCATCAGGAGTCTGTCGTAAGATGCGAGTCATCTATTTTCCTGTACTACCACGGGCTCCTTCCAGGCTCCCTTTTTTCCTTCATGATCTTGCTCATTTTATGGTTCAGCCGATTGCCAGTCTCCCTTTCCTCTCTACAGGGTGATTCATAAGTCAGGTTACATAGGGGTAATCATTATTGTTGCAGGTGTGTGAATGCTCGCAGTGATGTCTTTGACAATTGAAGAACGTATTGAGGTGGTGTTGTTGGCGGCTAATGGCAGTTACAGACATATCGCTGAGGAGTTTTACCAGAAGCACCCAGAATAAAGACATTTCCTATGTAACCTGACTTATGAATCACCCTGTATATCTTAGTTTCTCGATTTCATTTGTGTTGAATTGATGGCTTAGCAGGAAGGGCCAGATACAAACGGATCAGGCTAAGCCGAGCCGATGCAGTGACGTCTATCGTCTCCAGGGAAACGTCGGGGTGATGCGGGAGGAAAAGGTCAAAGAATGATCCGGCCCTGAGGCGTTCGGGTGGGTGGAGGTATGTGAATTCCACAAGAAAATATGTCATCCGGCATATATTTCATTGTAGATTTCGCATCATCATCTTTTTATTTACCATGAAGGAATTCTGGAGTACGGTGTCCGGCAGTCAGCATTGGAAGCGGAAATACTATAATCAGGTGTCGATAAATAAATAATAGAAGGGGGGAAAATTATGACATTTTTACGCGGTTACAAAAGTGTCGGGTCCACTTTTCCGTGCCTGTTTGGCGGTACCCGAGTTCACATTAAATCACATTGGCAATGGTTGCTACATCACATGCATCTCAAACTTGTGTTTGGTATCATTGGAAACGCTATGACTCACAGGAGGCAAAGATTACAGTGTTGGGCAATTTTTATCGTTATATACGAAACACATTTTACCTCATAAATAATCTGCTTACGATTAAATTAAGCCTTTTGCCACCGGAGCCACCTTGACAGTGCCCAAAACGAATCTACTGCAATAAGTGTCCGTGCAATCTTGTCCGTGTGGCATCTCCAGTTGTGGAACATATGTATACAAGTGAAGAAAACTTATTTAAAAAATTATTATATTCGTTCGTTATGCTCCGTTAGTGCTTCGGGCCAAAAGTCTTTCTTTCTGGACAATGCCGACATAAGTAAGAGAAAGTATTGGCTAGATCTTCCCTAACACTGCAAAACCTTTTTTGAGTTTTCCACCTCCGTGAAACAGTAAATACCACGGGATGGGAAGGTAGTGCTTGTAGGACTTTTGGTGTAGCTAACAGAAATGCTCGTAGAGCTCCCGAGAGACCCGCATTACGAGCAAACAAGAAGGCATTCAGAAATGACGTCAAAATGATAATGAAACGAATGACAAAACCTGGAGGCATTTTCCTCCGCCGGACGAGCTGAGAAATGACATGGAGGATGAGGAGGAAGACGAAGCAGACGAGGATGACACTTGAGACTGAGATCGCCATTGCTGTGCACGTCCAAGGGAGGCACTCTGCGTTCTACGAATCGATTAGAGACTAAGTGGCTTATATATATTTTTTTTTTTCTAATGTACTCTTCAAATTTCATGACCTTCGTGGCGAACAAGGTCGTGAGTGAAGTAAAGTCATGAACAGGCATGACAATTATAAAACGTAATTGCTAAATAATTCCAAACGTAATTTGTTATGGTATCATAGCTTGGCGTCGTAAAGAAAATGAGTGCGAATAAGTACTACTACTGTACAGTATAATATCCTCATTTTTTTATCTATAGATATACAGTACTGAGTTTCAATTTGGGACCACCATAGGATCAGGAATTACGAACAATAGAATAACAATGGCAGGTACTCGTACACGAAAATTGTCATATAATGTACATGGCAATTTCTTATATTAATCGAGGCCGTTTCCGGAAAAAATGTCATAGCAATGCAGCACTCGAAACTAATGTGTTTACGTCAACCCTGACTATTCGGTGATGGTTTTAGTTGCTAGAGAAGCTCACAGTACAGATGTACTAGGTATAGACAGTCTTCGATTCCGTCCGTGTTCAAATTCGATCGACGCGTAAGTCGAGAAGCTTGTGGAAGGGTTCTCATTCTCATTTGATATCAAATTCACTCGGATGGGTGGACCTCAAATTGATCCATTCATGAAACTAGGTTTATTAGTTCCCGTATAACCAACTTGACGCATGACATGGCATGAGGAGGAAGACAAAAATCAATGACCAATTATCCTGTTCTCTGTCTCCAACTTGTTGAGTAGCACAATTTATGAGATTCCAGTTACCTAAGTAGCACAAGAACGTTCAAGGAAACATTCAACCTGTGCTCAAAGAGGTTTGAAACATTCAGTATTAATCGACGAACAGTTTTTCAGCGTACAATTATGGCATTATGAAGTAATGTGAAAACCACGTTTCAAAGGCTTTCCCCTTCTTCAACCCCAACCTCAACCTCACCCCCATCCCCCTTCTCTACGGAACTCACTTACTTTAGGCCTAGGCCTACCTTTTCTCGTTCAAAAGAAACTTAATCTACGACTTACAGTGTCATTTTGGCCTATAAGGATTAATCCCTGATCTTCCAGACCTCTCGTCGAGGGCGTGAAACGTTAGGCCAATAGCAGGCCTATTCAGTTTCTTATGGAACTATTAAGAGAGGACGTGTAACGTTTGCCGACTAAAGGCCTGTTTCATGAATCATTTCAGTCCGGACGAGGAACGTAAGGTCTGTCCGGAGTTCCTCGAACAGTCTCGACTAGTTCTGAGGAGAGAATGCTTCTAGGAAGCATGAAATATAATCTTGGCGTCATCCTGTTAATTCAGTGATGTCCGAATGAGATATCTCCACATCCCATTAAATCTCTTGTCCACTGTTAACCATCGTTTCAATCTCAGCTCGTCTCGTGAACTCAGTATAAAATTGTCTCATACATTAAAAAAAAATTGAGGATCCAGACACCGATACTAAGTCCGAAGATATAATAAATCTGACATAAATATGGCACGACATACGGCAACACTGGAGGATGGGACTGCAGCCATCTTGCTAAGCGTATATGAACGATAGCTAATTTATTTTTTTTAAATGGCGAAATGGTGCACTGGAAGCAGCAAAAAGGGCACCTTTCGTCACTAACGAGGTACAAGTTAACATCTTTCGTTGCGTTGGTATCTTTCCTCCGAAAACTCCCCAGGAGTGGCTACCCATGGGTGGGAGGAAAAAAATACCGGAATGAAATTGACATCTTCAAAAAGCGAGATTCAGTGTTCTCCACAACCCCGGGGAGATGGAGCTTCAAATTTGCTGCGTGATTATATGTTGAGTGAGGAAAAAGCATGCCAAATTTCGTTCCTGTTGATTCTCTCGAAGAGAGGAATACAAGGAGGTTGATTTTTGTAGGGGGAAGGGGTTGAAGAAAGGTAATAGGCGCTCCTGCGCCTACTGATTTTATCGTCAATATCCTACTCATACTGAAACTCAAGAGAGGCATTGATTGAACATTCATTGCTGGTTCATGCAGGGAAATAAAAAAAATTTAAAGTTGAATGTTGAAAATTTTTCTGCGCTATTTGAATCGGCAAGCCATCTGGCAATGACTCTAACAAAGAAGAATTCCACAGTCGAAGCAAGATGGCACCTGAATCTCCGATTCACAGTGATGCATATACATTTTTTCACTCCAAGTTTTCTATTAAAATTGGTAGCATTTAGTGGGAATGTAATGCAAGGGATCCATAGTCGAATATGACATGTGCATCAACTATTCTTCGCAGTGACAGGAATGTTGACAACAAAATTAACACTAAAATTGGCGAAACAGTCAGCTATGTGCAGCGTGCTTTCCCAAGGAAATGCATCAAATGACAAAATAATATTCTCACGGTGTCTTTTTGAAGCTGCGAAAAATTCAGCAGCTGCTGAAGATCTGATTCACATCTATTCTGACATCACAGGTCTGATTCTCGCTCCCTGAATTCCCACTAAGCAAGTATTTCCTGGCTTCTCTCAGTTCTTTCTGCTTTCTTTCCTCCTCGAAGAAAGGCTTGCAATCTTTGGATCTGATGAGCACAACGGTCAGTTCTTGAGGTACCTGTTGGTTTCGACGCGACGTGCACTCCTGTATGACTCGATCGTCATGGGATCCATAAGAGGGAAAAGTGGGGGGGGGGGGGGGGACTGGAACAGAGATACTGTTACCATTCGGGAGCGGATTTTTATGCGCTACTTGGTCCTAAAATATGCGCACACATATGCGCTCAAAGATGCCAATATGTGCATTATACGTGTACGAATACGGGTAAATATGTAAACTTCAATGTACACTTCATGCATCTGCTGGGTATACGATATTCTTACCTTCAGATGAAACAATCGACCTTGCTTCATTGTTGAGCCTACTTCTTAACAAGCTATTTTCAAGTCCCTCTGTAAGAGAAATCAATTTATAATCAAACCATTGGCGAAAGAAGTCGAAACAGTCATTCAAACCCTTTCTACGGAGGGAAACAACTACAGAAATTCAGAATAAAATTCAATGGTCGAGGATGACTTGTTTCAGTTGGATCAATATCCAATATTTAAAAAAAATACATTGGTGAGAAGCGGTTGGTAGCTCATCTTGGCTATCCTGACCTAGTCGAAAAGCAGCCCATGTCTGTGAGAACAAAGCCGATGGTCAAGGAAGTCCGTGAAATGGTCATTGGCGAACATGCGAAGTCCCAAAGAGCGGTGGCGAAGAAGCTGGGAATGAGCCTTGGATGCGTCAATCGAACCATCCATGAATATTGAAACTCGCAGCCTATGCTGTGACAATCAGCTTGAAACTGATGGGTTTCGGGCCGGCATAAATTTACTCTGTGATGTACCCTGAGTAATGCTTAGTAAAATGCAAAATCCGAAATATTGAATAATGTAGAGATAAATAAAGAGACGTAGCTTCAGCAAGCTCTATATTAAGAATGAGAATGCTTGCTTCTTGCCATCTATTCCTCTGTCAGCCTCGTTTAGGAAGCAAAGAATCCATCAAGTTGATCAACAAATCAATCTTTTTCTATTTATGGGAGCTTCCACTTCTCCAAATTTTTAATACCAGTCGTAATAAGACTCATCTGATCAAGTAAAAAGGGATTGAAATTGAGTTGTAAGAACAAAACATAAAAAAAAACACATGGCTGGATAAAATGAAACCAGGACTTTATTTTCTGACAGATGGCTTGTGACATTCAGTATATCAAAATAATGGTTGGATCCATTCAGACCATAGAAGACCTTTGCAACTTCTTCATTTTCTTATGGTGGTGCCTTCTGTCATCAATGTTCTTGTTCAAGAACTTGACCCTAATGAATGCCCTTGTGCGAGCACACAGTAGTATCGATCTTGATTCCATTCCACAGAAGGGAATTTTGATTGGAGATCAGCTGCAAGATTCTTGATTAAACCCTTCTCCTTGCTGATTCCTGCCCCATGCCAAGCTGCAAAGGTTACCTCACAGTGTTTCATCAGGTTGAATTGACAGCTGCTGGATCCAGGTTTTCCTCCTTTCACTGCTGTTATCTAAACCTGATGTTCCCTTATTACCCAAGGTTGTAACTCCCATGCTTTCCATCCTGTGAGCAATATACCCTGCAGCATACAGCAAAACCCTCTTCTGCACAGTCTTCCATGACCCCACTCACTAATGCACAGGACTTCTCTGAATGCTCAATAGAAGTAGCTTTGAATTCACTGTGGAGATCTTCCAAATCTTTTTCTTTTGAAGTGGAACCTCACTGGACACTGGATGGATACCCATCCCGTATTTTGTGGGAATCATTTGCCTTTCCTTCGCATGTAACACATATTTACTGACACATGGGAGACATCAGCAACCATCAACAGGCGAATCCTATTCTTCACCTCAATGGCTGGTGGATGGTCATAATATGCACCAAGGCCTCTTAGGCGTGTGAATAAGTTTTCCTAAGAGACCACAAAAAATATTCGTTTGCATAAAAATCCACTCCCTAGTTATCATGCATTTCTGGGTCTTTTCCTCTTTTTTTGGCTTTTTTTCTGGAAAAGTGGGGTGGCACGTGCCCCATCATCTTGCCCCCCCCCCGACGCTACGCCGCTGATGGGACACCTTTGACTCCATAAAAGGTTCCAACTGCCAGTAGTATGCAGGTAGTTGGAAGGAACCCTCTGGGTTCCGTGTTGGATATGGAAGAGGAAAGCAGTGTATCATGCGATGCACAGCATCTTAGTTGACTCTTCTGAGCACGTTAGAGCTCCAAGTTTTAGAGGCGAATCGGATATGCATGGGGGCATTAGATCCCTTCCCAGTTGATGGCACACTGCCAATGAGCTACCTGGTAATGTGCTGGCGTTTTAGCGGCTCGGAAGGTGGCGGGCCAGTGCTGACAAAGGAACATGCAACCAATGGCGTAGCCACAGGTTGCATGTCCCTCTTTCCGAGTTTCATTTCCGAGTTCATCGTAGCTTTGGAAGTTGCCAAAGAATGTCTTGCAATTACTTTACCTCTACGTAAGGCACTTCAAACACCTCCAGAGGACTAATCTAGAGCAATGAATATGGTTGAATGTCATAAAAGAGTTTTTAAAATGCGAACAGAGGCAGAGGAGACGTTTCCTCTCATCTTTAACCTTGCTGGAAGGATAACATCTGAATCAGATGCGGAATTAAAGGCTCTAAGAAGAGCTCCCCGACAAATCTACAGATGTAATGTGAAATGGTATAATGAAATTTGGGCTTCCTACTTTTTTTTATGACACCTGCTGGAAACTATCCATTATGGGCTGAGGCTCTTCCTTAACAACTTACCTGTTTCTTTTTGCAATTTATTGAACCAAAAATTCAATTTTTTAATTGTAGATTTTGATTCGATGGACTTTGTTCTAACAAAATATATGTTTGTGACGTTATTAATTTATTAAGACAAACCAAGAAGGAAACAAAAAACACGAGTCGTCCATGTCCCATTCGAGCAAGTCAGTTTTGGGAAGGACAACGTCGTCAACATCAAAGACGGGCAAATCACCGAAGCGGTTAAGGAATTTGTGAATTCCTCACTGGATATGGAGATTACTAATTTGTGAAGGTGGGTAAGTTCGCATTCGGGGAGCGGGAGGATGAGAAAAGCAGATAGGGACATTCTTGTCTGTTCGTTTCTTCGAAAGGTGCGTTATGTGTGCATGTTATCCTAGGTATGAAGTCTCTCCCTGATAAGGAATTTGTAGGGTTTAGGAGAGGTGATGACGAAGCTCCCATCGGCCTCTGCGGAAGGGATCGGGTATCCTTGGGGAACGCAGAAAGTGAACTTTTGCATGAAAGTTGCCACGAAGAGAAACAACTCCATCTTGGCCAGAGATTCCCCGATGCACTGCCGCCTTCCTGCACAGCAGAAGCATTATTTCAATTTCCCCTCCTCATTCTTTACCAGTTACCGATCGAATGATGCGGTCCTACCGGTTCCAAAAGGGACGAGGCTGGGTAAGTTGCTCATGACGTTTCCATCTTCATCCAAAAATCTCTCTGGTATGAATTCATTCGGTGTTTTCCAATACCTTTCGTCAAAGTGGCACGACCAATAGTTCCCCACCAATATCGTGCCCTTTTTTTTTAAATAGAAAGTGTCCAGTAAAGGAAATTCACAATGTATCATTTTCACGGTCAGAGCAAGAAAAAAGTTGTGAAGCACAACCGACTTAATGCAGTAAAAATCGGTCTGAACTTGTAGTAGCTGCTGAAGGTAATTTCCACTCATATAAAAGTTGCATTTATCCACGGGACGCATGAGATTGTCTTTGTCAATACTGAAATGAAATTATGGAATAAGGGCGAGCTATTTGTGAACTTTTTAGGGTCGAATCTGATTTTTATCATTTCTCATTGGAATTACAACAGATCAAGTGACAGTTTATCTAACTTGTGGCAAGACTTGTGAAACCCCCTGGAAATATTTCAGTTTGTCATCAAAGCGCTCCAGAACACGGTAAAACTTAATTCTACAGTCGAATATTTATATAATTTCAAGAATGTGTGAACATCAGCCTATGGAGATCCATTGGATTTTTGAAACTAATATCAGTCAAGATCCCAAAGGCTTACCTTGGGAATAAAAAAGCCATTTAGCTGGGTATCGGCACTGGCAACATGGGGTATTGCAAGGGGTGATATGGTCCCATATCGCAGAGTTTCCAAAATAAATGCCTCCGTATATGGCATGCTGAAAGGAAAAAAAAGTCGGTTCTTTTCCCTGCACTGAATGTGTTTACATCGAGAGTAACAAGTGCGCATATTGAATTCTCATACGTAAGCTTGACATTCTTACAAGTACGCTTACAGCATTAACTGCTCTCTTTTTACTCAGTACACATCGGTGAGCATCGCTTTCTTTCAAGTTGCAGGAGCAATTCCCAGAGCAAACATTGATTATTCTTTCTAATATCGTTGTAAATCTTGCTTGCAAGGATGGACTCCTGCTCCAAAGAGAGCTGCTGCAAATAAATATTTTCTGCTATTAAATAGCAGAGTAGCCTTTAGTAAATAGCTATCGTGTGTTCGAATGCTTCTCCAGGAGCGCAAGCATTTGATACGATTTGAAAAGTTGATACTCTTAAAAGGCACGGGAATCCCGCTTACTGGTTCCTGTCGTCGAGAGACGGAATCCTCTCCTTTCCCACAACTCGGTCCACCTCTGACTGGATTTTCTCTTGCATGTTTGGATGTCGGAGGAGGAAGAGGACGAACCATCGGACCGCGCTCGAGGTCGTCTCGCTCCCAGCGATAAATAGTTCTGCCACGGTCACCCAGAGCTGCAACTCTGTCGGTATTCACAAGATCTCAATTACTCTCTTGGGAGAGGATTGTACAAGATGGATTGTAATTTGTATTACACAGAGTGTCCATTAAATTACTTCCCTGTTTCAAAAGGCCCTATTTCCCTTACGGAGCGGCCTAGAAACTTCATATTCGACATAGAGGATGTACAGCCAGTGAGATTTCTGATGGCAAAGTTTCAAATTATTTTTCCAGATATCACCACCAGGGCGATGCTATACCGTGCCAGAGACACAGGTACCTCTACACATTAGGAGACGTGTTCAGTCTCTTCCCCAACGTACGTTCCAGGACCGTGTCATCAGCAGGGCCTTCCCACAGGCCTGGCCGCCAAGGTCACCTGATCTTACACCTGCGGACTTTTGGCTGTGGCTTTCTTGAAGTCCAAATTTTACAGTAGCCGTCCTGCGAAATTAGTGGAACTCAAGGAATGCACAAGGCCCGAGACTCCGTCGCTCTCGTCTAACTAATCACTTTCTTGTCGGAGACAGTAGCGCAACAATGAAGTGAACGGTAGTGTTCCGATGAATACCCAATGCTACTTGAACATAAGCACATCCAACACATCTATGATCATTCGTTGCAGGACCTTTACACGTTCCGTGGCTGCATTCAGCATTAGTCCTGAGAGCGTCCTCAAACGAGCAGTACCTTTTCTCAAGTGACTTACAAGACTTCGTCATCTTTTACAGGAATATCATCTTATTTTCTATAATCTGCCCCATATCAGTTTCTTTTCTGATGCTAATAGCAAGCCTGATAAGATACCTAGGTCGATTTCTTCTTCCACATTATTTTTTATATTAGAAGGCAGATAATCTACAGTCAGAAGTGCTCTTCCCTGCGGACAGATGTCCGAACCCGCTCTTGCACTCAGTCCTAGAGTGAGATACTCAATTGAATAACCCCTCCTCAATCCTCTGGACCAAATTTGCCTGGACGTTCCATGTATTGGGTACCACCTGAGAATAGCATTCTCAGAGATTCCAAGGTCTTACCAGTGTAAAGAGATTGGACACCACAAGAAAAATACTGGTAGACTCATTGCAATCAATCATAATTGTCCTCAAAGATGGCATTCAAAAACTAAAATCGTGCAGACTGCTTCTCCGTCCCTAATCCACGAAAGAGAGTAAGGTTAACACGCAATTGAGTTGGGCCAAGAAAGATATGCTCATCCAAGGTTTTACCCTAATCCATAGGCGGTTCGAGGTAACCAGCACCTCAGCTTAGCCTAGCCCATCCTAGCTTAGTCTCTCCAATCCTGTCCTTTCCTATCCTATCTTATCTTATCTTATCCTAGAGCCCCCGCCCTATTTCTTTAGCCCATTTGCAGTCAACAGTTGCATCTATGCGGTCATGTACGCTTACTCCTCCGGTCTCCACGAGTTATGAAACACTCCAAAAAACCGACGCACACTAACTTCGAGTTCTATCTCTGTCCATGATTCCCTTGTTTCTTCTGTAATAAAGTGCGCTGAGGGGGCATAGGATTGGACTAACGTTGAACGACGAGTATACTTAACCCTTAAGGTGCCAGGGGAACAATATATCGTCGATTTTAGCCTACGAATCGGCTGCCTGGTCCTGGAAGGGGTAACTATACCTGTGAAATAAGGATTAGATTCCCCTTTTTGCTTAAACTCGTCCATCTTCTGGAAGTACGCTTCGATGTAGTCTTTCGGAGGCTCTCTTGTGACGAATTTTTTGCGCTCCTCGACCTCCTTCTGCAGGGAAAAAAAATGTTCGTGCTCTCTCTATGATTTCTGTATGCTCCGTAATTTATGACAGGAAGAGGGTAAGCGATTTCGCTAACGATGAAAATCTCCCTGATTTTTTCGATGTTTCTAAGGAGACGTTGATACGCCCTACTGACAAGGGGCCAGACGTGAAGTAGTCCAGGTAGGATCTGTAAGAGTCCCAAACTCACAGCATCATCTTTGACCTTCGACACCAAGTCCAAGAGACCGTCCAGTTGGAGGTCGCCGTGCTCGAACTGCTTGCCTGGCGTGATACAGCAGGAAGTGACGTTCCGATAAATAATGGAAGCCCTCTTTCCTTCTGTGGTGGTTCTCTCATTTAAAAATCATCCTCAGATTTATCAAGTCAAAACATCAGCTTTAGCAATTACGAGGGGTGTTCAATGTATACCAGGACTTTTGTTTATACAAGGCAAAGTAACCTATGTAGATGAATAATTTTGGGAAGAATTTGTCTTCAGAGTGTTGTTAACCCATACCCACAATCGTGTTTCCTGCTTTAATACATGTGCTGAAAAATCCAGAGGACGGCAGTTGAGGTAACAAAGAAGGTCGAACAGCGCATCGTCATGAAATTTCTGACCTACGAGAACATTAAATCTTTTGAAATTTTCAGACGATTGTCTGCACAGTGTGGTGATGATTGCCTGTAAGAAGAAACTGCCGTCAGTCAAAATGAGATCCTCGAGTCACTTTGTGTTCACGTTGTTGAACGAAGTGGCTGGTCTTGCAGCGAGGGCTTAATTCTGGCACGCTTTCCCACCCATATATAAATGATTTGCCCTAGTCAAATACGGATTTCCTTCACAGTCGTCACCATACTGTGCAGGCAATTTTCTATAAATTTCAAAAGGTTGGATATATTCGTTGGCCAGACATTTCGTAATGATTCGCTGTTCCACCATCTTCATTTGCAGCACATGTATTAAAGCAGGAAACACGCGATATAGATTAACAACACTATGAAGAAAAATTCATCCAAAAATGATTAATATACATAGGTTACGTTACTCTGCCTGGTATAAACCAATGTCCTGGTAAACCTTGAACGACACTCGTGCATAAATTATTTCTCTTCGTATGCCCATGCATGATTCGCTCTGTGATGCATTGTCACATCCCAGACTGCTTCTGCATTATGCTTTTCTTTCCAATCGATTTGAGAGGCTTCCACATTGAGGAGAGAACGAATGAACTTGCCTGCAGTCAATTTCCAGATGAGATTCAAAATAGCTAAGTTTAATGGATGCTGAAAGTCTTGAGGATCTTCGTTTCGTCGAAGGAGGTCACAGAGCTTCAGGACTTCTTGTTGGATCATCGCGTTCAGTTTGGGCGCCTTGCTGAGTCCAAAATCTCTCAAAACGGAGATGGTGAATCGTCGATTCTCACGCCACTGGTTTCCACACGAACCTAGGATCCCTGCGTAAGAAATTTAGATGAAACATCTTCCTAGATTCCTATCAATTGAGTGATACCACAACCACATTGCAAATTTGATAACGGTTGGCAGAATTTGAGCTTTCATCAAGCCAACAGCATCGCACTTCATCGTGCTCGTATTCACGCTGAGCGCTAAGATATAACTCTTCCCCCCCCCCCCCACGCCCACAGCCACGCTGCCCATCATTTTATTCGTCTTAATAGCGTTGGAAGTAGCGAAAATGCCCTTCACTTGGACGAATTCTGAGAGCCCTGGGGATCTTGGTTACATGCCAGAAGTGCCCTGTTTGCTCTGCCAAACCCGGAGCTCCTAATGACTTGGAGACAGCAGAATTGTCTGATTGCAAAATGACGCTATTTCCTCCCTGATTAGGTACTGCAGCATATTAAAGCATTGTGCTGGACACTCCTTAAGAACCCGTCTCTTTCCATCCTCAACCAAGGCCCAAGGCCTAGTCATGATCAGCCTCGTTTGGATTTGAAAGATATGGGCAGCGTTATCTTCGACAAAGAAGATAACAATGGGAACCGTTCGAGAAAGTTTTATCCCGAATGACCCCCAATAGTAAGAATGACGGTTATAATAACGGTAAGAATAACGGTTAAATAAAATTGCAGGCAATGTAAGAATACAATGCTTGCAATTTTATTGCTATCCTGCAGTGACTGGGTCAGATTGCCTCAGACGCAGGAAGAAAGAGCGAGTAAATGTTATAAATTATGCCATTCCTTCCTTGCAAAAGAAACGTATAATTGTCTCTAAATACATTCTAAAAAGTAAGGAATATCTGTCTTCGAGGCAGACCAAGAGCGGAACCAAAGGTTACAGGAGATAACGAACTTTGGATATTGGGGCCTGAAGCGTGCTGGTACTACATGGCAAGGAGCCAGAACACATCGTGGAAAGGGCTGATAGAGATGACAATATGTAAAAGGTGAGAGTTCAAAGGTGATGGATGGTGACGGGGAAGTGTTCCCCCAAAAGGATGGGCACCAGAGGTACGTCGGGCAGTCGTTACTAAGACAGCAAGCTGGAAGGGCATCTACGTCCAGTGAGTCAGACAGGAGGTGCCTTCGCAAGTACAAGGACTTGCAGTACTAAAGTCATGAAACAGTTCCTGATATCTTATGGCGACTTGGCACAGCAACTTGCTCCATTACTTCCTTTAAAAATTTCAAAAAGGAAAAAAGACTGATTGAATCAATATAAATGGTAGCTGCTGTTGCCCCCCCCCCCCTCCCCGCACATGCTCACCTCTATCGCCACGGCTAACTATTCTCCCCGCCAGATTTTCTCATCGTAAAATGTCTGATCATAACAGAAATTTCAATTTCACCCACTTGCAGCTGACCTAGTCACAACTTACTTTTATGAGGAACAGCGAAAGCGCCATTGAATATGTCAACTTTGGAATTCATATATTTTTTTAAAGCGATGCACAGAAACACATGCGCGGCACAGGCACTCCTTACACTCAACGGAAGCAGCTGGGGAAAAATCCTCTTGAATTTCAAGTTAGTCATTTAAATGAAATTTTCCATTAAAAAAGTAACACGATTCATGCCGAACCGTGGTTGCCGTCGGAGAATTGTCGAAACATGAGGAGATCGGCTCTGTCATTGAGTTCATGTCTGTTGAAGGCATCCCGAATGAGGCGCCATTCGCTCATGATCACCACGTCTTTCCCGGCCAGATTCAGGCAGAAGATGTCCCCGTATTTTTCCTTCAGGCGATCGAGTTTCTCGTGGATACAACCTCCGATGAGGAAAGGCGCGTAACCCAGGAAAGGGACACCCCACGGGCCTGCAAGAACAAGATACTTAGATGTCCCATCCGCTTGTCAACATAAAAGCTGAAATAGAAGCCTTTTGATCAAGTTTTAGGTTGCACGCATTGTCACATGCTGGACTTCGTTATGTATGTTGAGAAAACATGCTTTCACAAGAGGGACTGCGTCCCTTGTAAGACATATCGTTCAGCTTGCCAGCAGGTTTCACCGTTTCACGTCTAAAATATTTACATTTTGTGCGATTGCAAGCTCCTTTTGGTTGTCGGGAAGACGGAATGTGATTTCATGTCAGTATAAATTTACTTTTTCTCGGCTCCCGATTACGTCTTACTATTGATATATGGTGCATTAGAGTGCACATATCTATAATAAAAAGTCTTAACGGGTCCACCTCTGGAAATGATGGCTTTCTTTCCTTCGACGGCACGATATGAAGCTAGAGAGTACCAGCCACTGTACCGCTGGAATTATTACATACTTACTATATATTATACTAGCGAGTTTGTTTGCCCTTCGGGCAAACAAACTCGCTATTGTCGCACCTTCGGCGCTCCATTCCCTGGATAGTAATTAATTCAATTATTTATTTCCAAAGTGCCAAAACCATTTTAAAAGTATGTGCCCGTCGGAATGTGTATCGAGAGAGAACAAACCGATATTTTCATCGGAATAATTATTCTCATTGTTTCTTGTGTGCCTAACTTCAAATCTCTTCATAATCTGCCCTGAGGGGTCATATTTGAAAAGTAGGACACGTACTCAGCAATGGAACAGGTACTTCTGCTCCAAGTTTAACTTTCTTTAGTTCTTTCTTTCATTGAATCAGAAAAGTTTTTGGAAAAAGCACCTTTTGAGGGAAAAAAATACCCTCAAGGGTTTTAGATAAAAGTTAACATTTTTACTGAAATCAGTACAAGGAGAACTACGTGCACGCCAAGTTTCAACCTTATCCGTTTGCAATAAGAGCAAATAGCTGGTGCAAATATATATTTGGAAAAACCGATATAGCCAAAAGCTGTGCCCAAGGGGTATACATATTTCTAAATCACCATCAACTCAATTATTGCTGTGCCAAGTTTCACATTTCCATCTCGGTACAATTCAGTGGACAAAAAAAAAAATTATTTGAAAACGTCACCCCCTAAAGATATGCCCCCAGGGCATGTATCCAAAACTTGCCATTTTTTCTGGACTCAGGGTCTCAGTAGGTACGTCCATGTCACGTTTCTGCTTTCCACGTTTATCCATTTGACTAAGGGTGTGGAAAAAGTTCTGGAACCTGGTAACCACGATACCGGGAAGGGTAGCGACCGATCGGGAAGGCAAGGGAGGAATAAAAAAAATAAATAACTGAGGGAATGAAAGCGAGGGGGGGGAAATAAAATAATGAAAGAGAGGGAAGGCGAGAGATAATCGGGGTGTTTGGGATGCGAGATGGTAATGGATTGAAGCAAGGTAAATGATGACTGCGAAAAGATAGCAGAACCGGGTAGACATCTCCAAACGACTGACGTCGGTAAGTTCAGGGACGAATACATGGATTTTTTCTCCTAGGTAAAAGGATCTCGGTATTGCTCGTTCCCTCGATTCTGGGGTTGTAGGTTCTCGTCCCAACGAGGAAGATGGGGGAGAAGTAAGACACCTCTAAAATTTGCTTGATCGTAACGAAGAGGCGGCTTTGTCCTCGGCATAAAAAGGGGATTATGATTATGATTTTGTATTTCACGAGGCGGGAGAATTAGAATTAGATGGCGTCTTGCGCCTTGGAGACTTCTTCCTTTGTTCTTTTATCGGTCGGTGGGCAGTCGGCCTCGGATTACAGGTTACCTGGTTTTCCGTCTACAGATTAATTGATCTTTCGCGTCTCATTTCAAGTGACGTTATTTGACTCCAAAGTTGGGGGAATACATTGATCTCCATTCCCCATCGGAATGCCGTCCAATCCGTTACGTTCGCATTTGCTACATATCGAATTTTCCTGACTCAAATGAACGTCTCTCTCCCTTGACACGACTATTGCAACTATTAATGTCTAATCCAAGGAAAACAACACCAGATGAGAGGTGGTTTCTGTCCCGTCCATCAATGGTCTGGCCTGATTTCCAACTCTGGGTGATCTCATTTTCCTCTAGCTCTCTCGTACTCGTGTTAGTCCATAACGCTTTAATGCACTGGTCAGCAATTCCCCGGAGAGTGGAGGGATGGCTAAATGCTGTATGGTTAAATGGTTGAACGGCCAACACCCATCAAACGTCATTAAAATGAAAATTTCAATGGACGTTTTAAGTCAAATATGCAGTTGAATATCTGCTGTCGGACCGTAATGTGCGATATCAAAACATCAATAGCAACAATCAAATCAATCAACATTAATCATCGCAATAGTCATGGTATTGGTGAAACAGAACGACGCCCATCCGAGTCAGAAAAATTGGATAGGTAGCAAACGCGAACGCCACGGTCCAATCTCATCCCGCACTTCACGTACGTGGTTCCTGTGCCAGACGTGGTACGTAGCGCTCTATGTTCTAGCATTTCTTGTGTTCTGTCGACTCGTGTGCATCTCGTCACAGAGAATATATGCTGGTGCCTAGCGACGAGGTGCCCTAATTGAACCCTCGACCCAAACCAGCAAGCATAACACGTTGAAGTTACGTGACGTTTCAGAGGTTGTTAGCCGACTGAATAGACAGAACTCAAGTATGAATTCGATAAAATAAATATTCCAGTACAGAAGCGAAAATATTGATCGAAGTGCTCCTCCGCGGAAAAACCTTTAAAGACCCTTTCGAATGACATTTCTTTAATTTTAATAAATGGAAAGAACTTCTCAGGGGACTATGCCCCTCAAGGGGTGCAATCCCGACTAGAGTAGAAAAGTTCATGGACCTTTTTTTTGTACTTAGAACGCTTGCACCTAAAATCGGCATGGGTATGCATCTGAAACTTGACATTTTCCCTGAACTTAGTGTCTCAGTACGCACGTCCATGCCAAGTTTAAGCTTTCCATGTCTCTCCGTTTGACTGAAGGAAATATATCTAATTAAAGCATCCCCCCCCCAAAAAAAAGGGTGTCCCCAGGGCATGTACCTACAAAGTCGTATTTATTCTGAACTCTGCATCCCAAAAGGTACACGTGTACCTAGTTTCAGGTTTCTAGCTTCTCCAGAACATGGTTAGAATTAGCGTCAGTCAGTCACGATCGTCTATATATATTAGACAATTATTTTATGCGGTCGCACCTTCAGCGCTCCAGTATGTAGGATGGTAATTAAATCATTCATTCATTTTCGAAGTTGCAGAAACTGATAGATTTATTTATCGAAATCATTGCTCCTATGATTTCTTGTGATTTCTTCCTTACATCAGATATATTTATGTGCCCTTTTTGTCTGAGAGGAAAATAAATCTTGAAATACTTCCCTTCCATAATCCGCCCTGGGGGAACATATTTCCAAAGTAGGATTTCTTCTTCACTCCACTATGCATCAGGTACTTCTGCGCTAAGTCTCAACTTTCCATCTCTCCCCACTTCATTGGATCAAGAAAGTTTCGAGAAAATGCGCCTCTTGCAAAAATAGTGCACTGAGGGGTTTTACCTAAAAAGTAAAAAAAAAATAATTTTGGAAAATCCGACCCATCTAAAAGCCATGCCCTGGGGGAATGCACCAGAAAAGTTGAATTTTTCCTAAACTTAACATCACGTCAGTTATGCGTGTTCCAAGTTTCATCTTTCTATGCCTGCCCGATTCGAGGGCAAAAAAATTATTTGAAAACGCCCCCCTAAAAATATGTCCCTTAGGGATGTATCTGAAACTTGAAATTTTTCCTAAACTCAGAGTCTCAGTAGACAGTGTCAGCTTTTCATGTCTCTGTTTGAAGCAAAAATATCGCTTTGAAAACAATTCCCCCCCAAAATGTGTGCCCCCAGGACATATACCTCCAAAGTCGGATTTTTTCTGAACTCTGCATCCCAAAACCTACTTGGGTACCAAGTTTCAAAATTTATAACTTCTCTAGAACATGGTTAGAATTTGCGTCAGTCACTCACTCAGTCAGTCACAATCGTCTATATATTTCATATTTACCGCATCCTATCTAACCTTGCAAAAAATAATAGCTCTCATTAGTTCTGCGTAGGCCTAAATGAAAAGGCCCTTACAACTAGATATGTTCTCGATGGTCCGCGCATCCGCATCGCGTGGAGAGGGGAGGACAGTATGAAGTGTAGTGTGCCTGATACGGCATTTCACACGTTCGCCTAGCAACCCTGTCTACACGGCTGGAAGGAGCCGCTTTCCTTCATTGTCTACGATGTTAACAGCCATGGCTGGAAGGAAAGTGGATGTTTTCATGGAACACGGGCACCCCGATCCAGACAGAAAGCTGCGCGTGCGCATTGGGTCGTTTTGTCAGGTCGCTATGGTTACTGCGGACAGACGAATGAAAAGGGAAAAAAAGTGACAAACCGACCGCAGTATCTGGCATTTCCCCATAGTACCTATGGGAATTCCAGATAATGAAGGAAGTGCATTATTCCAGAGCCTGGATTGGCCTAGCTTCGTGCGGCCTATGAGCGGAAGGAACCAGGCATCTCTTCTTATCCAACTCCTCCGCTCCTTTACTATATTTTCCTTACTCGTCTCCCACGTCACTTGCATCGTCTACTGTGATACGGTGTGCTGTATGTAAAGCAGCTGATTCTCTTGTAACTTGTGTTGCCTGCGATAAGACGTCACCCGAATCGTCAGTTCATCGTACTTGGAGGACTGCAACCTCTGCGGCGCGAGATCTGAGGAGTTCTTAAAGACTGCGATGAAAAGGATACGCATTGGGTTACTCAAGTGTATCTACGTGGCCCTTTTCATCCTGACTGCCAGGATTCCGAAAGAAGTCGCTATTTCAATATATGGGAAGGGGAATTACGTTTCAACGCGACAGAAATTTCCCCCATGTTGGGCTTTCTTCAATGAAGTGCCTTTAGAGAGAAATATCTTTGGTGCCACCGACACACCCTTCATCACGTAGAAGCAGAAAGCCATTCATAAATGACGATACATGATAATCAAGCAAATAAGGCAGTTTAAACCTGGAGGCATTTTCTTCCGCCGGAAGAGCAGGGAAACGAAGTGGAAGATAGCGAGACAGACGATGGACCCAAATAAGACACTGAAGGCTAGTGCCATGACCGTCTGCTTGCTAAAATAAAAAGAAAAAGCACTTGATGCAAGCGAATTGTCTCTCGGCCGACTAGACGAGGCCCGTCTGCTGATTGCGTGCGCTTTAATTGCTCGACAATCATCATGACTCAATAAAATTGTCGTGGACTGATGAATAGTTTGCAAGATTGCCATGCACAGGGTGGCGCAGAAAAATGCAAGAACTTTTTGCTTAGCATCATTTACTCCTTAAGAACAAGGTTTGCAGGAAATGCGTACAACATAAGTAATGCGTAAATTTGTGGCGTATCAATGTAATTGCAGCGAAGATGAATCAACATAACTATTCAAAATGGCCACCAACAAAGATTGAGTTGGACCACCCTAACTTGGTTGCACATTCATTGTCATCAGGACTCCACTCAAGAATTCCGGCGAATAATTGAGACCTTAGAAAATTCCTACTCCACTGTGTGCTAGTGTTCTAACAGTTACATTGAGTTGTTGTCAGAATTCTCATTCATTGGTACGTCACACACGCCTAACACACAAGATTTCTTAGAATTGACTGTACATGAAGTTCGTATCTGGGTCGCTACGACTCTGCCTCTGCTACATTAGCCTAAAGCGCGAGACCGTGAAGACTACTTTTGAAGCCGTAGGCTAGGCGGAAGGAAACACGCTCTGTCGGTTCTAGGGCATCCGTATGTTATACACATTCCCTGCTGCTCCTTGTAGATATGGAATATATACTGTTATGGAAATAGTGTATACCTTTTATTTCCCACCCTGTAGTTCTGGACGAACAATGTGGGTCATCTTCAACTGACTCTGCATATTTCATATAATAAAAGACTTATGACGAAATCACGCAGGAAGGTGAATATGGTTAGCATCTAGTATAGCATGAGTAGTTTCTTCACTAGTGTAAGCCTGGAAAAGAAATGGGAATTGTATGTAACCTATGAATTTGTGGCAGTGGCCGAGTGGGGAGTCTTGCATGTTGCGGCGCTTGACCGAGTTTTGGGAGATTTCGAATGATTGGGATTCGGTGAATATCAGAACATGGCCCTCGCGGATTTATTGAATATACATTGTTCATAATTGTACTTTTGCATAGAAATGTCAAAACCCGCGAGGAGGGGACATATCGAATAAGAGATTTTGTGTCCTTTAGAACAACTGGTGGAACTCACATGTACAATCAGGCGAAGAATGACATTTGTAACAGCCATTGCGCGGTCGAGATTGAAGATAGGTAGGCCACGCTAAGTCACTTGAACCAAGTGGACCAATCCAGGAGGAAGTTATTATTGAGACTACTTCTCTGGAACTCTTTCCTACGACTTTCTCCCTAGGAGTACCTCCGTAGGTGTTCCCTGTAACTACTGCTCTGACTACTCCTCTGCGACTGCTTCTCTGCCTCTCCGGGCATCCAGCAAAACATCTCTACCTTTCCCCCCTAGTCAGTGACCGGAGCCTACTTCCCACATAAGGGCATCCCATCTCCTACGTCACCGACCAGGAGGAGGTCTATGACCTTTTGCAATTATAGCATGGCCGACCTACCTCGTAGCGGACAAGAAAAGCATTTATTTACTGCTTTTGCCACAAATTCGCCTCTTCAACGATGCTTTTCAACATTGCGTTCTCCATAACGGAGGTAGAAAAGCTGTTTTATTCAATAATTACTGCCGAAATAGTGGAGTCCAAATCCTCTTCGGCATCTGATTCCAAACTGATTCCGAATTAGCAGTGCATGATGAAGAATATCTGAATAATAATAATGAAAAAACACTCCTGAGTTTCTGGAGTATGCAATGCCAACCGTTTCGCCCATCCCATTTTTAACGAAAAAAGCGGAATGAGATCAAATGGAAAATTCCTTTACGCAGACTGCAGCTGTAACGACAATGGTGGCCATACCCCGAGCAAATACGTTGGCATTTAGGACGTGAGTTGGCTTGGCTCTTTCTTTATAGGGACACGGGAAGTACACGCAGAAAATTCAGTGCCTCAGTTTGATGCATTTTTCTCGAGGAAAAACTCTCTCCTCCATGCGATGCGTCTTCATCGCATCGAATTTTTGATGCGATTATCACATCACATGGAGGACAACTTCTTCGCGAGAGTCGCAATCTTTGCATGAAGGGTCTATGATTTGTTCCTCTCACATTCTCGAGCCATCTCAGTGAGAATGTGTGACGGTAGGCTACCACATGCTTCTCTGGAGTTGTTCTTAATATGCCGCGAAGATCTGTCTGGGGCTACTTTTCATCCGCCAACACGTAGAGCACATGTTCATTCACCAATGGGGCATTTTTATTTTCCTCAACGAAGCAACTGTCACTGCTTCAATCGCATATCATTATAACAACATAATGAAAACATGCATAACACTCAATACAGAGGGTGGAGTCTGGCTCCGAGTTTAAAGCAAAATCATTGATGAAATTGAAATATAATATTAGGCATCCACGGTGATGAAGTGCTAGGCCGGACATTCAAAGGGTACAGGAAATACGCAGTTTACAGACGGATTGAATTCATACACAGTGGCTGAATATTTTCTGATGAGTCGGGGGTGCAGGGCAGGAGGAGTCTAGGATCTCGAGGGCAGGAGAGACTTTCCGAAAATATTTGCAGGTGCACCAATTGATTCAAGATTATGGGCTACATATGCTGGTGTTCTTTAACGTCAGACAAACCTATTGTGGGAATATAATGGCTTTTGAGCTTAAAGCCCGAATACTCAAGCCTAATTTAGGAGAGATAACGGGGCCTTTTAGCGAAGAATCTCTTTTTCTCCCATAGGAATCCATGTATTCTTAAAGGACTGTTAACTGTCTATAGTGTACAGTTGGATCTTACCATACTGGCGAAACGTGGTGCACCACCAACGCACCAAACGGAATACAAACACCGCATGAAACTGAACTCGAAGAATGAAGTAAGCGGTTACATGGGAGTCCCTTCGAGACGCACGAGCTACTCGCACGGGTCGGAAGGAAGGTGATAGGGCGAAGAGGCCATGCACTCAAGCGGTTGCGAGTGAATCCCTCGGCTGTCAATGCATTGCCCCTAGGGTTCATTGGGGGGGGGGCCTTCCTCGGCACGATGAAGTGGAAGACGGAGGTTAACATGGGTCTAGACAATTTAAGTCCACTCAAACCACCCTCTCGACTCGGCTATAGACGCATTTCGGTTTTGCAAACGCCTTTCAGGCGAGCCGGCACGGTTGGGAAGCGAGAGATATAAATCGAAAATCCAGTTCATGTCTTTTTCTCTTCAGGAAAATAAATCAAAATGCGAAAATTGAGAGAATTATATTTCGATTTACCGATTTCTCTGAGTGTATGAGCTTAACAAGTCATTCTAGTTCTCCCAGTTGTTCTCTCGTATTCTTTCCGAGAAATGGAACCGGGTCTTCGAGCTTCTGCGCAAAAAAACGAAAGTGCAAGGCATGAATAAATCTGCGGTTGTCTGAGACCTAGGTCTCATCATACAATACGGTCTGAGGCCGCACTCATGTCTGTTCCGAGAAAACACAGTCTACATCGATTCCGATCTCTCCCAGACGGCTTCTGTAACATCTACACATAATGCAAAACAGAGCAGGAATCTTTCAGAGCAGCAGACGCCTGCGTCGAATCGCGTGCTGGCATCGGAATCTTGAAAGATTTCTCATTCCAGGAATGCGTTAGCGAAGGAACCTAGGATATTCATTTTCTCGCTCCGATTCAGCTAACTATCTTAATCATTCCAAGGCGTTATTTAGTTATTCTCTGTCGCACCGATCATACGAAATGATGGGAGACCTCGCCTCCGTTTCTCTTTTAATGAGACTCACACTTGCTTCCGGCATCGTTCTTGTATGTAATGACAATAGGCACCCATTAACTGTGTTTTAAAGGTTCCCCAGTGATAAAAAAAAACTTCCGTCTAAGCTTTTCCTCAGGGTCACCATGGAATGCGACGTTGTCGGATTGCTTCAGAACTGTGCACGTATTCGTCGCTTGCGTTGCACAAACAACATCCACTCAAAAAATCCTTCTAGCAGGACATTTATGATCCCAAGTGTAATCATTTTAAAACATCCGATACCAAAGAGTTAGATTTAGAGTCAGTGATACAGGAAAATGTGTGATGAGGGTGGCGTTTCTTCCTTTTATCCATCACGCGTGAACTCGATCCTCGGGGTAGGATCTATTCCTCAAGATGAACTTGTAGGGTTTCGGGCAGTTGACGATGAAGCTCCCGTCGCCCTCTTTAGAAGGAATCGGATGTCCTTTGGGAACGCAGAAAGAGAACTTCTGCATGAATATCGCCACGAAGAGAAACAATTCCATCTTTGCCAGGGATTCTCCGATGCACTGCCTCCTTCCTGCAGGGGCAAAAAAGAATGATCTCCATCTCCTTTGCGAATGGCATTGACGGGACGAAGGTCCTACCGAGTCCGAAAGGGAGGAAGCTGGGTACGTTGCTTCGCAGGTTCCCATTCTCGTCCAGGAATCTCTCTGGCCTGAATACGTTGGGTGCTTCCCAGTACCTTTCGTCGAAGTGGCACGACCAAATGTTCCCCAGCAACATCGTACCCTTCAAACATGTACTGGAAATTGTTCATCCGATACAGATAATAATGTAACGTAAAAAATCTTTTTTAAGGCTTTCTCTTTCCATCATTTCCCTGCCCTTTCCTCGGTACTCCCTAACGATAGGCTACAGCCTAACCCACGGAATGTATTCTGGTCTGGCCTAGGCCCACCCTTTTACGCTCGAAGGAAAAATGTCAATCCTCGCCTTGGGTTGGACTCGAGATGACTCCCTACATTGAGAAGATTCTTTCTTGGGCTTTCAAGGCACCTCGGTGGGGACGAGTAACGTTATGGCCCATCCGGAGTTTCTCTAACACCACTCAAGCGTAATTGGTACAAAATATGCCATCTTGGAGATGGTTGTCAGATAATCAGCATTTCCTTTGACAACTTTTATGGTAACTACAAGTAAGAGGTATTGGTATATTGTAATGATCAATGACAGTAATGATTTTGCTAATTTGCTAGCATGTGTCATTGAAGCGTCTGCTCCATGTTTGAGGTCCAGTTTGACTCTCAACGAAATGAACATGGGGTCGAGAAATGGTCCCCCGTCTCAACATTCATACGACTGTGAGGGGAAAAGGAGGTTTTGCATAGTTTATGGATAATTCTAATGAATTTATCATGATATTGCTAGGTATTGCCTTTCTACTAAATTTTACAAATGTACACTGACTGCTATTTTCCGATGGTACGAAGGAAGTGAAACTTAAGAGCTATCCATTATTTATTTTCTTTTTTTCCCAAGTCAGGTTTCATGCATCATCATATTTGAGCCTGTCTTCCAGGCCTCTATCATCTATTGTTTCCTTTCTGTCCTCTCTTCGTAAGATGGACCGAATACCTTGTTCGTGGAATTAGTCCTGATGTCCAATTCCTTACCTTGGGTATGAGGAAACTGTTAAGTTCGGTGTCCACATTGGCGACATGAGGGACACCGAGCGGCACCAAAGTCCCAAGCCTCTGAGCTTCCATTATGAATGCTTCTGTGTATGGCATCCTGAAAATAGCATCATCGCAGATTCTTTGAGACAATCTAGCGAAAATCAACTCAAGATTTTCAAGACTACAGTGTTGAAAAAAGTTTGGCTACGTCCTTGACGTAGGAGTAAAAATCAGATTCTGCTGCCTCGCATCATGCCGTGGATTAGTTCTAAAAATGTTCCTAACGCTACTAGGATTAACTCACTGTATGTTATTATATGTTAAAATGTAATCGATTGCATAAAAGACGAAGCTTTCAGAGATACTGTATAGGCGAAACGAGTTTTTGAAAATATGTTCCACCTGCCTGGGACTCGAGCCAGAGCATAGAGGTCTAACTAGAGGCGACACTCCGGGGGTGGGGGAGGGTCGAAACATTACATTGACATTTTGTGGCTTGTAATCTACAACACTTCCACGGGTGGCGTACTTTGTGGCTGCGGAATCGACTCCTTTTTTGGATTCGACTCTAAGGTAGTCCTGAACGTAAAACGCGTGTCTCGTCGAGTCCGCTGCTTGGCCATGGAGGAGTTGTTGATGTGCACACGCGGGATGGAGGATCGACAACGACATCTATATTGCGACCCTGTTAATGAATAGGATTCGACCAGAGCGTCGCCTGTAGTTTCATTCTCTGCTCTATGTCCAGAGGCCAAGACATCAGCCAGCAAATGTCCGCCTGCAGTCCAGCGATCCAAACCCGGCGGCAAATTTTCTCTGATTCGGGATTCCACTTACTGATGCCTATCGTGGAGGGATGGCGTCCTATACCGACCCACCACTTCATCCACCTCGAATTGGATTCTCCTTTGCACGTCTGGATGTCGAAGGAGGAAAAGGACGCACCATCGGATCGTGTTCGTCGTCGTCTCGCTCCCGGCGAAAAACAGGTCGGACACGTTCACGCACAACTGCTGACCTACCGGTATTCACAACATCTCTGGTCACCTGATGGGGCTCAAGGGTAGAACTTTGTAGCGTATTACACCTCATGAGATCGACTTTCGTTAAATGAATTAGAACTTTGTGAACTTTCGAATGAATATAGTGAGAACTCCATGAAGAATATAAGAAATGTCTTCTTGGAACATGTCGATGTTCAGAAACTCGGAATCCTTTTCGCTCACACCATTCAAAATGTCTAGAAGGAAGGTCTTCTCAATGAGACTCTGGGCGTCCCACATTAATCTATCTCATGTATTTCAGCATTTAATGCCAAGCATGCAGGACTCATTCAGCACTTCGCGAATTTCTAACTGCAAACTGCATTCGGTACTCTTTCAAATCAATTATATTTAAAGTGATCAGAAATTAAATATTTTCTTGAAGTTGTGAAGTGAGAAGTGTGAATCGTACTCATCTCAGTTGTGAATGGTATTCGTTCGCAATACTCAACCGTACTGGTTCTGTTCTTGCTCGGCCTCATAATTAAATCCTGGGGGAAGTGTGGTATTAGGCATGTTTAGCAATTCATCTTCCGGCGATTAGATTCTTTCATCGTGCCATGTCGTGCAATGAGTCACTAGAAACTTGGGAAAAAAAAACTATTGCGTTTTCCTCAACTGCGATGGGAATGGAGATGGCCTTCAACTATTGCAATTAATTAATTATTTATAGTTACCTGTGAAGTTGGAGTGCCCGCCCCTTTCTTCCACCGACTTCATCTTCTGCAGATACGCATCGATGTAATCCCTCGGTGAGTCTTCTCTGTCTAATTTCTTGTGCTCTTCCATTTCTTTCTGCAAGGAAAATTCTTTTCAATCACGTAAAGGAATGGCAAATCTTTTCGAAAAGGAAGTCAAAGAAATTCTCGTTCACAGAAAAAATCCTAAGGAGTTTGGGCACGTTCCGGACGCAGCGCCGATAGGCCGCGTTGACGGACGGCCAGAAATAAAGGAGTCCGGGCGCGACTTGCAAAGGCCCCAGAGCGAATGAATCCTCTTTGACCACCGTCAGCCGATCCAGGAATTGCTGGAGTTCGGGGTCGCCGTGCTCGAACTGCTTTCCTGGCATGACGAGCAACGAAAGGACTTAGAGGTGATGGACCTTTGCGTGCTTACGTCATGAATAACCTTGAAACTGACTCGGCAAATTATTTTGAAGTCGTCGCGTAAATTTTTACTATAGACATGTCAAATATCCAGAAAATGCCTAGATGCTCCACTTTATTTAGTATCATAAATTTTCATCGTAAGAAAAAGGAACTACGACGGCCTGACCTGCAGTCAGCTTCCAAATGATATTGAGTATAGCTAAGTTGAGGGGATGCTGAAGACTTTGAGGCTCCTCCTTGTTCCGACCGAGGACTTCGCAGAGTTTGAGGACTTCTTCTTCGATGATCCCGTTGAGAACGGATGCCTTCCCCAGTCCGAAGTCCCTGAGGACTTGAAGGGTGAATCGGCGGTTTTCGCCCCATTGGCTTCCGCTGGAGCCCATCAGCCCTAAGTTGGAAACTCCATATCACTTTTTGTGTTTTATGTGCCTTTTTTTGCTGTCTGAACTTTGTGATGCACCAACAAACAAGCGAATAGACTGAATGATATGGTTTTTCCCGGTACTCAACGATAGGAACTGTCGTGTCCCAGCTCTGGTCTCGAGGTGAATTGAGTCTTTTCTGGTTGAGGACATCTTAAAAAGTTTTCTCAAACCATGCTTGTCAACAAAATTCTTTAATTGTCAAGTTCATAAACGTTTCAGATGTTAAGGTACCCTTACGATTCTCATCAATCACGTGAATCACGAAATTTCCATGAATGGGGTTAGGACTGTTTGAGAACTGTCAGTCCTTCCTCTGGCATTGCCGATCAACGGATACCCAAACTCAGACTATTGTAATAAATACATTATCGTAATAAATCGTTGGTGGCTTCAATAAATTAACTGCCTCGAAGCCCTAACGATTTTTTGTTTTCAACACGGTGTGATGTTAAAGAGAGCTCCGGAAATCCAGAAGTAAGATTCTACTGGGAGATGTGAACATTTCGAAAATCGGTTTATTTGAGAAAATAAGTCTGAGAGCTGAGAGTGACTTGGAAGACTTGTGGTATAACTTTCCTATACAGTGCCATTTTTTTAGTCTTGACGTTACGGAGATCCATGACACCGGAATTTTATGAGGGATTTATCGTTTTTCTCAAAATGAGCTCGAAACCTGTAAGAAGCTCGTGCCATTTTGGTCGACAGATTTCGCCATCTTTTCACGATTTGATACCTAAATTGAAAATGGGAATCCAGATCTCAGACCGTTGTTTCCACCGGAGAAAAGCCGGAGGAAGACGAGGTCGGCCCTATCGCTGAACTGAGGCCTGCCGAATGCCTCCCGAACGAGGCGCCATTCGTTGAGGACCACCACGTCCTTCCCGGCTAGGTTCACGTGGAAAAGGTCGCCGTGTTTCACCTTCAGGCGATGGAATTTCTCGAGTATGTTGCGACCGAAGAGGAACGGCACGTAGCCCAGGATAGGTACTCCCCATGGTCCTGCAAGTAGAATTGAGACATTTATAAAATACAGTAGGCTAATAGTACATTATGTAAGCTGGGGTTATCCGCGGGCGGGATAATGAATTTAAGTATATCGTACGATATTATGATGCCCAAAATAAAGCCGAAATCAGCTATTTAGATAGATTTAGGTAGAAGTGCGTTTAAGTGTTGCGTTTGAACTTCCTGCCAACGTTGGCCCCACATTGGCCCAATGGTCACTTTTATGTGGGGCCAACGTGAATAACCTACGTTGCCCCTGCGTATCCTGACATCGTAGAACCACATTGGGCCAATGTAGGCCCCATAAAAAATGTTATTTGGGTCGTATGGGGCGGTAAAAAGCTAATGGGAAGGGGGAGAACACTGATACTGTGCTTCCTGTGTCTTTGAGAAATCACTGCCGAACTTTTGAGACTCAAATCACCGGCAACGACAAGCGAATAAATGAAGAAAATTAAAATAAGACGATGAGACGAAACCTGGGGGCATGTTTCGTCGCCGAATCAGTTGCGAAATGAAGCGGCAGGCGGAAAGGAGACAGATGACAGCCACAAGAGCAACACTGCAGGCTATTGCCATGACCTTTATAAATACTTCGAAGAAAGAGACTCAGAGTTTATCGCGATTCTGTCAATGATTCGCGACCAACCTTTCCTTTTCGCTTGTTTGTGACTCAGCAATAGAGTCGATTAGAAAGCCATTCGTGTTCTTCTCCGTAGTTGAAGGACGGTAATGACATTGTGGAACATGAAGCTCCCGAGAAATCGGCGAGGTAATCACCAATAATTAATTCATTCCTGGGCAGCACACCAACCAACCCCATTCATTCGAAGGTTCTTTGTCAAGGGGTGAGCTTTCCCCCTCGTGGAATCCATGATTAGACGATTTGGAAGGGGAAGGCTCATTCCCTTCCTCGACACGGAAGGAAGGATTGAATTCGGCAATTACATTTGTACTCAGTTTTGTTCGTGTAAACGTATGACTGCTCCTTGGCATATCTCGACCTGTGATTTCGATAAAACGAAAGATAAGTCAATGTGACAGGTACCAGGGGTTTAATCATCATTGTAATGATTGTTTTCCCACAATGAAAACAGCTTTGTTTTTCTGATCCAATCGCGGAACTCATTTCATCTACATAATTTTCAATGATTTCTATTCGGGATACACATAGGGTGACCCAATTGGGGTTTGTGTGCCAAGTTTTAAATAAAAATTCTGAAACCTAAGGGACTGGCATTGAATTTACTTTTCATTATCAAAAAAGTAAGTGTTCATCTTTTCTTTTTGCTTAAAAATTCTCAAAACTGACAAAAACAAACAAGCAAACAAACAGAACAAAAACAGATGCACAAATGCCAAACACGAAAGCACAAAATTTGGTGCTCAATGTGCCCTCCATTCTGTGGAAAGCAAGCCCCTAAGTCTGGGACACCACGAATGAATGGCTCGGTCAATAAGCGTTTGAGGCAATACCTCCCAATTTTCCTTTGTAGCATCATGGAAGGTCAAGGAATTCGGACCTCTCTTTCATCCCGGTCTCAAGGTTGTATCGATATTATCGACAGCCCATTTTGTCTTTGGTCATCGTGAAAATAATCACGATACCTATAATTTTAAGGCCAGGTGACTGAAACTTGGTTTGCAAACTTCAATTGTGTCATCTTATAAGCATATCAATTTTAATCAAAATCGGCAGCCTACAATGAGATTGACGAATCACCGAAATTGATAGCTTTGGTTTTTTTTTTGGCCCACCCTGTATATCGATGCTAAGGAGTCTTTTTCGTCTTTCAGGGGACACGCCTTCGGCACATTATGATCAAATGAAGTTAATGCATTTAAAGCATTCAATTTCGAAGCGCACCTCTAAATATGCGGTCGAACCCCTTTGTTAATGGATTTGGCAATTCTCGCACCTAAAGAGACGTTACTTCGTGAAATTTTCATAACGTCACATGACTTCCAGATTTAGGATCATCAGGTAGAAATTCAATAGGTCATTGAATGTTCTTATATTGAATTTAATTTCTGCCTGTGGTCATCAAGCTCTTCTTTGCTCATAAATCTCAAAAAACATCTAGTGGCAGACACGCAAGCTTCAGCATTTTAACACAATAATTCTTAATAGACTATGTGGAGCTTTATCGTTACATTCATGTCTATATTCGGGCACGAGGACTCTAACGAAGTTCCCTTCTCAAACTCATCCTGAGGCTGCAAACATTTATCCATGAGGAAATAAGTCATTCCCCAAATGCAGTAGATAGATATCCATGTTCTCGTTTCGTTGAAGGAAGAAAATGCATGCGGCATTAGCCTAAGCGTCCATCTATGGGTTTGGCTTAGGCCTCTGAAATCAGTCCCCCTCGAAATTTTCCCCGAGGGCATGTACCTTAACTGTCGGGAGACTTTCTGAAGCCTGCAACTCAACAGCTGTCCGAGTTCGTTTCATTGAAGGAATAAAGTAGGAGCATAGAGCAAGAGTAGAGTGTAACTAGAGGCGACGCTTCATGAGGTAGGGCGATGGTCGAAATGTTACCAGAGACATATGGTGGCTTATTATGGAACTTCACCATTCCTATTAATTTAAAAAAAAAAGTATATGAATTTATGAATTCAGAGAGAGGGAGAGAGATGAAAGGAACCTTGCGTGTAAGCTTTTTCCTCAAGGTTAATATCAAATGCGACGTTGTTGGATTGCTTCAAAATTTTGCGTGAATTCGTCACTTGCGTTGCACAAACAACATCCTGTCAAAAAATCCTTCTGGCAGGATATTTGTGATCTCAAATGTAATCATTTTAAAACATCCGATAACAAAGAGTTACTTTTCTCAGACAGTTCAAAAATTCAACTCAATTTGTAGGTAGAACATTCCAAAACGGTACCAAAAGGTACATACCATGTCTTGCCGACGTAAAACCTACGATGGAATAGATTATTAAACTAACACAACTATCAGGAAAGAAAACAGAAACAAACTAAAAACGCTTATGTTGACTAAGAAATTCCCACACTCTTGGATGAATTTGAGAAGTGAAGAATCGGAATAAAACAACACATGAGCAATAAAAGTCCGAGTGTATCCAGTGTCCGAGATTTAGTGACGGTGATAATGGAAATTCGTGATGAGGGTGTCGTTTTTACCTTTTATCCATCACGCGTGAACTCGATCCTCGACGTAGGATCTACCCCTCAAGATGAACTTGTAGGGTTTCGGGCAGTTGACGATGAAGCTCCCGTCGCCCTCTTTGGAAGAAATCGGATGTCCTTTAGGAACGCAGAATGAGAACTTCTGCATGAATATCGCCACGAAGAGAAACGATTCCATCTTGGCCAGAGATTCCCCGATGCACTGCCTCCTTCCTGCAGGAGCAAAAAGAAATCATCTCCTCTCCTTTGCGAGTGACAGTTACGGATCGGAGGTCCTACCGAGTCCGAAAGGAAGGAAGCTGGGTACATTGCTTCGCAGGTTCCCATTCTCGTCCAGGAATCTCTCTGGCCTGAACTCGTTCGGTGCTTCCCAGTACCTTTCGTCGAAGTGGCACAACCAAATGTTCTCCAGCAACATTGTACCCTTCAAACATGTACGCGAAATTGTTGATCCGATACAGATAGCAATGTAGTGTAAAATATGTTTTTAAGGCTTTCTCTTTTCAGCATATATTGAAATAGATATCACTAGGCATTGCCTTTCTACTAAATGTTACAAGTGTACGCTGACTGCTATTTTCCGATGGTACAGAGGAAGTGAAACTTCGGTTCTATCCATCATTTATTTTCTTTTTTTCCAAGTCAGCTCTCATGCATCTTCATATTTAGGCCTGTCTTCGAGGACACTATCATCTATTGCTTCTTTTCTGTCCTCTTTTACGAAAATGGACCGAATACCTGGTATGTGGAAGGAGTCCTGGAGTCCAATTCTTTACCTTGGGTATGAGGAAACCGTTAAGTTCGGTGTCCGCATTGGCGACGGGAGGGACACCGAGCGGCACCAAAGTCCCAAGCCTCTGAGCTTCCATTATGAATGCTGTTGTATATGACATCCTGAAAAAAGCCATCTTCCCAGTTTCTTTGAGACAGTCTACCGAAAATCAACTCAAGGGAGCAATTTTCCAGTCTACAGCGTTGAAAAAATTTCAATGACTCCATCCATGCTAATGGAAGTACGAGAAAAGGAATGATTCTTCTGCCTCGCGTCATGACTAGAATTAGTTTTTAAAATATCTTCCTGACGCTACTAAGACTAACGCACTGTATATTATTATAATATGTTAAAATGGAATCGATTGCATAGAAAGAAGAGCGGTATAAATACTTCGAAGAAAGGGACTCTCAGAGTTTATCGCGATTCTGTCAATGATTCGCGACCAACCTTTCCTTTTCACTTGTTTGTGACTCAGCAATAGAGTCGATTAGAAAGCCATTCGTGTTCTTCTCCGTAGTTGAAGGACGGTAATGACATTGTGGAACATGAAGCTCCCGAGAAATCGGCGAGGTAATCACCAATAATTAATTCATTCCTGGGCAGCACACCAACCAACCCCATTCATTCGAAGGTTCTTTGTCAAGGGGTGAGCTTTCCCCCTCGTGGAATCCATGATTAGCTCCCGAGAAATCGGCGAGGTAATCACCAATAATTAATTCATTCCTGGGCAGCACACCAACCAACCCCATTCATTCGAAGGTTCTTTGTCAAGGGGTGAGCTTTCCCCCTCGTGGAATCCATGATTTAGACGATTTGTAAGGGAAGGAAAAACTTGGAGAAACCAGACAGAGACCAGGGAAAGGCTCATTTCTTTCCGCGACACGGAAAGAACGACTAAATTCGCCAATTCAGTTTTGTTCGTGTAAACGTATGACTGCTCCTTAGCATATCTTGATCTGTGATTTCGATAAAACGAAAGATAAGTCAATGTGAAAAGTACCAGGGGTTTTATCATCATTGTAATGATTGTTTTCCCACAATGAAAACAGCTTTGTTTTTCTGGTCCAATCGCGAAACTCATTTCATCTACATAATTTTCAGTGATTTACATAGTGAGACCTCCATGCAGGTGCCTCAGTCCATATGTGGGAGAATTCGCAGCAATTCATGTTGGTTCCTCGTCGAGCATGAACGAGGAAGCTCCGGTCTCGTCTATTGGAAAATAGGAGGGGCAAACGGCGAACGATCGTCAGTGTGTCGATTGCAGCTGAAGCCTTCGTGATGGGAATTCCATCACTTCATTGGTTCTTTCTAGCTCATGGGTTCACCAAGGCTGTTGTATAGACGCCAATCTCTTTTTCCTGTTTATGGTTCGAGATTCAATTATTGTTCGACCCTGTTCG